GCTGTATATATTTTTTAATAATATTTGACCATGGTGTCATGGCTGTATATATTTTTTAATAATATTTGACCATGCTGTCATGGCTGTATATATTTTTTAATAATATTTGACCATGCTGTCATGGCTGTATATATTTTTTTAATAATATTTGACCATGGTGTCATGGCTGTATATATTTTGTTAATAATATTTGACCATGGTGTCATGGCTCTTTGTTAATTGCCAATAATCTTCGTTGGTAAACCTGTAGTAATATGCTGACATGAGTGTTGTTAAGAAATCCGTTTTAACAATCTTCGTTGCTAATCTGGAGTTGACATTTGGATACGGTAATCCGTTGTTGACAGTCTTCGTTGTTAAAGTGGTGTTGACATTTAGTTATGGTAATTCGTTGTTGACAGTCTTCGTTATTAAACTGATGTCGACATTTGGATACGGTAATCCGTTGTTGACATTATTCATTGTTAAACTGGTGTCGACATTTGTATATGATAATCCGTTGTTGACAGTCTTCATTGTTAAACTGGTGTTGACATTAAATATGGTTATCCGTTATTAACAGTATTCATTGCTAAACTGGTGTCGGCATTTGGATACGGTAATCCGTTGTTGACAGTATTCATTGCTAAACTGGTGTCGACATTTGTATATGGTAATCCGTTGTTGACAGTCTACGTTGTTAAAATGGTGTTGACACTTAGTTATGGTAATTCGTTGTTGACAGTCTTCATTGCTAAACTGCTGTCGACTTTTAGATATGGTAATCTGGTATTGACATTCTTCGTTGTTAAAGTGATGTTGACATTTAGATATGATAATCTGTTGTTGACACTCTTCACGGCTAAACTGGTGTCCACATTTGGATGTGGTAATCCGTTGTTGACATTCTTCATTGCTAAACTGGTACCGACATTTAGATATGGTAATCCGTTGTTGACAATCTTCGTTGTTAAAGTGGTGTCGACATTTGGATATGATAATCCATTGTTGACAGTCTTCATTGCTAAACTGCTGTCGACATTTAGATATGGTAATCTGATATTGACATTCTTCGTTGTTAAAGTGGTGTTCACATTCAGTATTGGTAATCCGTTGTTGACACTCTTCACGGCTAAACTGGTGTCCACATTTGGATGTGGTAATCCGTTGTTGACATTCTTCATTGCTAAACTGGTGCCGACATTTAGATATGGTAATCCGTTGTTGACAGTCTTCGTTGTTAAAGTGGTGTCGACATTTGGATAAGATAATCCGTTGTTGACAGTCTTCATTGCTAAACTGCTGTCGACATTTAGATATGGTAATCTGATATTGACATTCTTCGTTGTTAAAGTGGTGTTCACATTCAGTATTGGTAATCCGTTGTTGACACTCTTCACGGCTAAACTGGTGTCCACATTTGGATGTGGTAATCCGTTGCTGACATTCTTCATTGCTAAACTGGTGTCGACATTTGGATATGGTAATCCGTTGTTGACAGTCTTCATTGTTAAACTGCTGTCGACATTTAGATATGGTAATCTGATATTGACATTCTTCATTGTTAAAGTGGTGTTGACATTCAGTATTGGTAATCCGTTGTTGACACTCTTCACGGCTAAACTGGTGTCCACATTTGGATATGGTAATCCGTTGTTGACATTCTTCATTGCTAAACTGGTGTCCACATTTGGATATGGTAATCCGTTGTTGACATTCTTCATTGCTAAACTGGTGTCGACATTTGTATATGGTAGTCCGTTGTTGACAGTCTTCATTGCTGAACTGGTGTCGACATTTGTATATGGTAGTCCGTTGTTGACAGTCTTCATTGCTGAACTGGTGTCGACATTTGTATATGATAGTCCGTTGTTGACAGTCTTCGTTGTTAAAGTGTTGTCGACATTTAGGCATCGTTGTCTGGTCATCGCAAGGATTGTCATGTAAAGATTAAAACATCATGCTAGGCATCACAGCAGACCCTGAAAGATAGGGGGTGAGGAGGGTGCAAGTAGAACCTCACAGAGATTGATTGTTTTATAAAGTGTGTTCCAAAATTAAGTAAGTCCGTTTTGATTATCTTCACAAAAAATTGTCACGTGAACTGTTTTTCCATTATTATTCATATTTCTGTTGCATTTTGTAAATATGTATAAATATTTTTTGAAAAATATATAAAATAGCTTCATTTTACATGCTGAAGACAAAAACACCGAAACCCTAAAATTTAATAATGTAACGTGTTCATCGTTGTCCGAGTTCTTTTAGATTACTTGGTGAAAATAATTCCACTTCTAGTCTACGTAACAAGAGAAATTAGTTTATGTTTTTGTAACGTTTCTGTAGGATACGTTGACTTTGACACAAGTAGTAGGACTAAGGGCAAAAACAATATATCAACATTAACTTTACAACTAATTGTAGGCCTAACATCAAATACAACGTTTCAGTGTAAGCTGTGAGACGTACACCTAACATAAATAATGTTACGTCTCCGTTTGTTAATTGATTTTTCCGTAACTTCGTTCCA